AGCAATATCGCAAAATAGTTTTAAAATGAGCATATCTTTAGAATTTTCGATACAGAGACTCGCACGCTGGAGATAAAAATGTTTCTTCTGTACAATGTTGCCATTGCTCGCTTTCAAATCCTTGAATTTGTTAATCAAAAATTCATTAAAGTTTTACAAAATAGGAAATCGATAATGAAACAAACTTCAAATTTGGTCTTCCACATGTCCATATTCGTAGGAGAATTATGTCATTCAAAACTCGATGGCTCTATGTACCGTTGTTTTATCACAATGCTAGAAATATACATACATTTATGTAGATTTTTCATTATTTAATTTCTTTAAATATAACACAGGACGATAATAATTTGTGGCAACAGTTTGAAAAGTGATTCTCCATTTGTAGTGAATCAACACAAAACGAAAACAATAGTCCTTCAAAGACGAAGTCCCTTTGGACTAAAAATTGTCTTAGGATGTTGGTCACTGTAAGTTCAATAAGGTCACTGTAACTACAAAATTTTCGAATAAAATATATAAGAAAAATTAAATAATACTTTTAAAGTACTAATAAGAAATTTTTAAATCTAAAAGTAAATGTAAGCAATCCCATTTAAAGCGACCACTCAAAATTCCATATCTTTTTAATTTTGTGTGGATGTGGTGAACTTGCCTAATGAGTAAAATCTATGTTTATTTTTCTTAAAAACACTGTTCGCCTTAGGGAGATAGTCACCAAGAAGGTTCACTGCAAATATACATTATTTCTAGTAAGAAAGAGAAAAAAAAAAAAAAAAAAAAAAGTTGCGTTAAGATTTTCGAGATTTTCCTAAAGTATAATGTGCATATGAACCAGTTCCTGAGGAAGTACTCCACATAGGAATCCCACTCCTTAAGCAGATAGCCATAATGGGCTTTGGCATAATCTAATAAATCCAAACCCTATTGAAATATTATGTAGCTGACTTTCGTCATAACTAACAAATCAACATTCAAGTAATTGACTGCATGCTGTGCATGAAAATTTTAATGACACTTTAAGAATAAAATAAAACAAAACAAGAAATAATTTTCACTATAAGTGTATTAGATTAACAAAAAAGAAGAAAATAATCTCATAATTAACTTAGCAATTTTTTTATAGATAAGGTCATGCAGTTACTTACTTTCCTTTTTCTAATCTTTTTTAAATTATACTTTTCATGAAAAATTACAGGTAAAAACGTTATAAAAAGTGATTTATCAATGACCTTTGTTAGGTAAATATATTGGTTTAAATTTTTATGAAGTGCTATACATTGCATTAATTTTCTCTATGCTTAAGTTTCCTTCTTACTTTTTGAGCAAACATTTATTAGTTAATAAAAAATATGAAAGTAAAATTTATCCTTCTTTCCATCTTGCACTCACAAATCATTATGGGAATATTCATTTACAATTATTAAAGCCTGAAAAAAGAATGTCTGCGATGTTATCGTCATGTGATGATATGTAGATACTTTATTTTTTACCACAATATTTTCGATGATGAAGTTTTATAAACTGTGAAGTTTTTGAACTGCTTTATTTTCTATGACGATATTTCGTACCGCGATGTTTTGTAGCATGACGTTTTCGCTTTGTGTTGTTTTCTGTGCGATGTTTTCGGCTGTAACCATTCCGTCAAAAGCATTGTTATATTTTTTAATTATGTGGTACAAATTTGAAAAATGAGCTTGCTCACTATTTGTAGAACATTCACTTCACTGATTTATTTGTTGAATTAAATTTAAATCAGTATATGTGGGTATTATTAAACAATCAGATGAAGACATATTGTAGGAAATCATAAAAAAATTAACTTTTATTAATAAGCATGCATAAAGTAAGTATAAATTTTTTTTTTAAAATATGTCTAAATTAGCAATTATTAACGATTTTAAGATTTCCCAACCATTTATCACCTCAACTTTCAAATCAAGGAAAATTTTTGTAATTAAAACATTATTGATGAAATGAGAACAGATTTTTGAAAATCAAATAAAAAATATATAATAATGGATAAATGATGAAAGATTTTTTAAAAAAAATAATATAAAATGCATTAATGATAGAATGTGGACAGGTGATAAATCTCTATTGAAAACATGAAAAAAGAGGCTGTTGTCAATATTAATATTTCTAGGTTTCATTTCAGCTTGGTTTCAATACAGCTATTAAAAATGATAAAAATATATTCTTTTATTAGTGCATACATTTTTCCTATATCCAGTGTTTTCTTGTTAAGTTGACCACTAATATTAGAAGAAATGTTAGGCATTCCCATTTAAACTGGAGTCTAAAATAATGTGTTGGAAACAGTAACTCATCTGCTAGGACCTTCCTTACCAGCTTTACGGGTTTCCATTCACTGCAAGTTCGTGCGAAGTTTTCTTGCCATATGTAGCTAGAAATAAAGTTTTTAACACCATCTCATGGTGAGCTCTAACTTTGTTTCAACCATGAAATCTTCTAGACTGATTGTTCTCTACATCTGAGCTATCTTTATAGGGATCCGTAAGGCCGCTTGTAACGCCATCTATTGGCAGAATTAGTAACTAAATTTTTGAGGTTTCTGTATCACATTCTTATGGTTTTTTTTTAATAAACATACTACTTATTTCATGCTTCTATTTGTCATCGTTTCCTGTTTGTCCCGTAGATTGTCTTTTTATTTTTATTTCCTGATTGAATGTTTCAAGTTGCTTACAGATTTTGGTACTTTTCTATTATCAGGACTTGGGTCAGAAATGTATATTTCTATGCTTGTATGTGAGGATGTATGTGTTCATGTATGCATGCATATATGTACGTACATATGTATCTGTGTGTGTACACACATATATACACATATGTGCATACATACATACATACATACAGATATGTGCATACATACATACAGATATGTGCATGCATACATACAGATATGTGCATGCATACATACAGACATGTGCATACATACATACACTTCTGAATCTGGTCCTGATAAAAAAAAAAAAAGAGTACCCAGATTTCTCTATGTGGAAGAAGCACAATGGAAATTATTTCCCTTCAATCCAACTAAAGATATAGAAACACTTTCATTAGATGAAAGACATTTGTTGGTAATGGTTCTGAAATGTTGCCTACTTGTTTTTAGCACATTTTGTATATTCTTATATATGATCCATTTGTAATCATCTGTTACAATTCAGTTTACAAATAGCTATTTTCATGATGTCCAGGTAAAGACATGGTCCAGTTTATTCTTTTTTTTTTTTTTTTTTTTTTTAATCAAATACCATATTTATTAAGCTTAGGAGTGAATCTAGGTTTCTTTAAATGATGAAATTCAGATGAATTGTTAGTCTTTTCTACAGTCTCTTAGTTGGAATTCTTGGATTATTTGCCATAAAAGTATATATAGCATCATCCTCTTTGCCAGAAGCAAAATTTATCTTCCAAATTAAAGTCACCATTTTGAAATCTGCAAGCAACATTTGTACTATGTTGAGAGCAGAAGTATATTTCAGTATGTGTCACTAATGTTTCTTGTTGTAGTTACAGTTGTTAACAGGACAGGACAGGAACAAGTACAGGGAGCACCATGCCATCGCCATTGACAAAAATGGTATAGCCCCCATGCACTACCTCTCTAGCGTGCTGCCCCTTCCACAGGGGACCTGATTACGGTATACATAGGACATAGTATTAACAACAAATAAGACATAGCACATCATACTGTTACAACATACTTCGACACATAGTACATAGCATTAACATATTGTTACAGATTATTTACAGTCCAAGAAGTTATGTTCATTATAGAGCTTGTTGGTTTTGGCACTGCCCCTTCCACAAGTGACCTGATTACAGTAAACATAGGACATAGCACTAACAACGTATTGGACATATCGCAATATATTGTTACAACATACTTCAACACATAGGACATAGCATTACTATTACAGATTCTTTACAATGCAAGAAGTTATGTTCATAGAACATAGCATTATCATACTATTACAGATTCTTTACAATGCAAGAAGTTATGTTCTTAGGACATAGCATTATCATACTATTACAGATTATTTACAATGCAGGAGGTTATGTTCATTATAGAGCTTGTTGGTTTTGGCATAGCATATGCTTTATGATACCTAGGGTGTTATATTTGAATTATGTATTGAATGTTGTGCTGCGGTAATTATGTAGGTAGTGTTCCATTTGATCCAAGTTCAATGTTCAGATTTTAGCGGTCCATGGTTGCGCTACTTTAACATGTACTTTCATGAGTTACTGCATTTGATGCACTGGTCAGCTGTTCAGTACACATGTGAAATTGGTACGTTCTACCTGGTGTACATTCTGTTACCTGTTTAAAGTGGTGTTTGACGAGTTGTAGGCACCCCTGTGACGATACACTTCTCCTTTTGTGGAGTATGTGAACACTTTACCAGTGACACAATGGCATAGTACCAGTGGATGCAGGCACAGGTACAATATAAATTATTAGCTCGCATTATAGCTAGTCCTTTTGGAGGACAGTTGTTATGAGATATATATATATGAGTTGCCATTAGGGGGTTTGTGCTTGTTTCTCATTCTGGGGATCCTTTTGAAATCCTTTCAAGTAAACAAGAATAAAGTTAATAATAACAAATTTTTAAATGCTGGGTGGCCTCTTAAAGAGCAGTTCCTGCTCCTTTATTGCAAATCAGGCATTCATTTCTTCAGTAAAATGAATCTGCTCTTTGAATAACAAATAAGACATAGCAAATTCTAGCAAGTTCTTTCTACTATTCTGTGACTATGTTTCTAGCACCTACAAAAATCATGCATGAAATTTTGTAATTAACCAAGACTTTTGTTGGTTTTCTCTGTAATGATTAACTGATAAATATCTTAAGAGTTAATTTTGTTAATATTAGGTTAATTACTGTATTTAATTGTAGCTTTTGCACTTCTTAATATTAAATATGGTTTTAGAATATTATGTATTATAAAAATATTATCCTCAGGTTATTGCAAGTGGATGGGTAGTGGAACCAATGAAAGATAATGCCAATTCTTGTCAAGTTTCTTATCTTGTTCAGGTAATCAGAAAATGATTTATATTATTCAATATTACATATTCAATATAAATTTGTGAATAATTCAATATTGCATAAAATAGTTCAAGAGTCTGAAATGTGTAAGTACTGGAAAACTAAATTGTATAAGTAAAGAAAATTATGAAGTACATTAAGGAACTTATGCATTAGTTTTAAACATTCATGTAGTTTGTTTTATTACTATTATTATATTTTTAATCACAGTATATGCATTACATAAGTTTTGTTGTAATGTATTTTATAAACCACATAATGCTATACATCCTTAAAATGTAAAATGCGTGTTTGCATGCATAAAGTCTATTTAAATTTATATAATTTATATTTATATAATTTTTTTCTCCCCAGATGATTGTCAGTAGTCCAGAAATAAGTGCCATGGAAGAAATAAGCAACATTCAGTCACAATGTATAAATAATTTAAGTCTTATTTATCTACGAAACCAGCATTTGTTCAAGGCAAATAGCTATTCAATTATTAGAAATGTAAAACTCACCAAATTGTAGGACTGTTTGACACTTTCTGCCGTACAAATATTGTTTTTCTATTTTTAGAACAAATATTTTAATATACCTTACTTTTAAAGTATTTTTAATTCTTAATGTTGGTTTTTATATACATAGATGTTTTTGCATGTTAATTTTTTATATTGAATATTGTATAATATTGATTCAAACATTCAACAATATCACTTGTGAGGAGGGGAGAGAAATTTAAGAAATAGTATATTATAATAAAAGAATGATGTGTTAAATTCCACCAGAAATATTTAATTTTACATCTCTATGCATGAAATTAAATTGCATTTTAAAATGTTTGATATGACAAATATATACTTAGGGAATTTCTTAACATCAATAACCTAAACATGTTATTTCAGGTGTGATTTACTTCATAATTTTAGTGATAAATTTTTGCAGAAGTTTTTATGTTTACTGTTATCATTTATACACACATAAATACCTTGCTAACAGTAGCAATTAATAATATAGAAATTTGCATGCATGTTTAAAATCTATTTCATAATAGTCTTGCTGTAAAATATGCATGTATGTTTGCTTATGATTACTGCTGTTTCAAACACAGCAAATATGAAAAATCTAATAATTGAACATATAGCTGAAAGAATTAACTATATAGTAATATTTTGAAGTTACATATTAGATGGGATTGATGAAAAATGCAGAAGTCGAGGGTCTAATTTTACACATAAATCATATGAATTTTAGTTAAATAGGACTAATGGCTAATATAACATTTATTTCAGATCAAAGTATGTTATAAGAAATGTGGAATTTTGATATGTAACGATACAAAACAAATGTGCTGCATAATACCGAGTCATTTTAATATTGATGATGGCTTGATAAAAGTTAACCAGCTCACCTGATAGTTCAGCTTTTGTTTTTTATTATTATTATTGTGTAAAGTTTCTTTTTAGTGAGTTAATATATATGTATATATTTTAATTCGCTGTCTTGTAGCTTGAACACATTCCCCTTCAGAATCTGTGTTTTCCAAAATTTATAATCCTAATTTAATTGAACCAAGACCTGTCAACAGGAAATTGTTATATACTTTTCTGGTGGATTTGAGGTGTTACTTTCTTCAGTAGTGATTTGCTAACACATCTATGTAAGCTCATCAGTTGTTAGCTTTAACAGCTTGCAGACATCATCACTATCAACTTCTAAATCTAAGTATGGGCAAGATTGAAAAATTTTGCTATTATTTGACTGAATCAGTTTCTTGTATTCTTTTTATATATTTATTTTTTGGGAAAAGGATGGTTCCAAGAAATTGTCATCAATTTTAAGTCATCAATTCTTATGACACTTAAAACACTGAAAATGTGTCCAAAAGTTTTTAAAAATAGCCGATTGTTTTGCCTCCTAGAGTTATTCATATGTGCAAATGATTTATCTTATGTAATAAGCCATGAATATTTTGATGACTCTTTGCTGGTTGTATTTGGAGGGGGGGAAACAACTTTCACATGTGAGTTGAAATCATTTAGAGTGGTGGGAGGGTAACTGGTTACATTATCAGTGAGAAGTTTCACTTTAACCCCTTAACTGTCGTGGGCATATATATATGCCTTGCTCAGCCGAAGTGTTAACTGCCCCGTGCATATATATACACTCTTCCAAAATATTATCATTTGCTTTGGGCTGCTACCCATAAAATTATTCGCTAAGCTTTGGAATGCAACACCACAATGACCTTGACAAAGTATGCGAAGGAGGATACGATTTCAGAGAAGTGTGGGGAGAAATTGGAGAAAGGGGTGTGTTTAAAGCAGTGAAAGTAATGACTGCACGGTATTGGCTGTGTTGTTTGAGTAAAACATATTTTTTTTTTATTCTATGTCCTCCGTTTTCGTTTACTTTTTGTAGTAGGTTCCAGGGAAGAAAGATATAATGGATGTTTCAAACCCATTTATCTTTTCTGAATTATTTTTGATGAACTGCTCATGCTTCATATTGTTACTGAAACTAACCGTTTTGTAGACGAGTGTATAAACCAACACCTTGCAAATGAAAAACCAAGAACAAAATTGTGGCATTCAACCAGTTCAGAAGAAATATGTGTTTTTTTAGGCATACTGATTTCACAAGGTATAAAACTGAAACCTGATCACTTTACTATTGATCGAAACTCCATTTTAGGGATCTTTTTTATTATAAAAACATCATTTTTATTATACTTATGTCTTTTTATTATACTTTTACTCAAAACATTAAATTTTATGCATTCATTTTTTTTTTATTCTTTATTTTGTGAAAGTAAACAGTTTTTAAAAAGTAAAACTTGCACTTATTTTCCCCCTAATACATCGCATAGCTACGCACGCCTGTGTGAAAAACCGTGACACTGGGAAATTAATTTTGTACGTTTTCCACAGCAGTTAAGGGGTTAAGCAGAATTTGTTCAGATGGCAATGATGTTTCACTTTTGATATAAAATGATGACCAAGTTCTCAAAATACAAGCTGTCACCCAAGTTGCATAAATCAGGTTATTAATGTACTAATAATATTATTGTCAAGTTAGAAGCATTCTGTATGATATAACTGCTTAAATTTGCATTTTTTTTTTTTTTTTTTTTTTTTTAAGTTACTGTACTTTTTTATTAAAATCTCATCAGTCTAAATGTGCATTAGGTTAAATGCACTTTTCAAACAATCATTAAAGGGCTTTTAAGAATTGAAAATTAATCTGATATTAATTATATTATTTTTCTTCGAAACATGACAATGAGGAAGCTAATGTCCAGTGAGACAGTGTTTAGTTTTGGGAAATATTTTATATCGTCTTTCAACATTTCTTCAAATAGTTGTCTGTGCTCTGCAAAACAGCAATCCTTTTTTAGCCAGTATGTGGAATCAAACCTTTTAAAATCCAATTCACAATTATTTAGTACAATGTGGTAAGCCTTTTCCCATGGTATATGTATTGCATATCTCCAATCCTACTTTACAAATACTGTTTGCCTTGCATCTTTGATGCAATGATTTTGATTTGATGGTAGTACAAGGTATTTCATGAAGATTCCATGGTATCTCTTAAATAGTTGAATATAGTCCATGGTATAAGTCTAAGCAATGAAATGAAGTAAGAATATCTTTATAATGTGGCACTTTTTATGAAAATATAGAGAAAGTTATAAGGTGCAAATCTGAAAAGAAATCTTTTGCATTAGAAAAACATTTTGCAATACTTCAAAACACTGTGTTAGCAAAAATCAATTTTTATATAAACCCTAAAATTTACACAACTTGGCATTGAGTGAAAATGGTTTAAATCATGTAATTTTTTTTTTTTTTTTATCTAAAACCTTATCATATTTTATTCATTTCTTAAATTGAAACCATGAGTCTGTAACCAATTTTTTAAAGCAATATATAGTCATGCATTCTTTTAAAAAGAAAAACATGTATATATTAGTTCTTTAAAAATATATTGAATACTGTATGTAGATATCCTTTTTTTTTTTTTTTTTTAATTCTCTTGTATATTTTATATTATCATTTTGTAATGTATTTTGAAATATTTATTCTTAATATTTTTCTGTGTTCATTATGACTTGTACATTTAATGCTGGCTTTTAGCCAGAACTTTAGAATCTGTGCATTGAGATCAAAATGACACCTGAGGAAAACTAGTTACCTCTTTCTGGTATAAGAACATAATTTTGAGGAACCATGCTACACTATATTCATATGAAAGCAAATTAAATACATACTGAAATATGTTATTTTAAGAAGCAAATAAGTAAATTAAGTACACAGTAGTATATTAATGAGAATGCATATATTTAGTAAAACACTATTATAAAGTAAAATTCAGTACTTTATGCAGTACATAGTGGATGAGGAAGAAATTGATAGAACAATAGAAAATTCTTCTGTAGAACCCATTTAATTATAGAATATAGCAAATAGACATAGTTATTAGTTAATGATACAGTTATTTCATAGAGCATTTTTTGAAAATACATTGAATCAAATTGGAATTTGGAACTCTTCGTAGTTTATAAACTAGTAATGCTTTCAGAATCTAGCATAAAATATTTTTAAAACATTTGTGTTTTTTTAATGTTGTAATTACTTTGACTTGCATACTAAAAAAATTTAAAACAAATTTAAAATGGTGTTTCCATGCAAACTGTGACAAAATTTCCAGTTTCATTATCACAATTTAATTTTTTTTCTGCATTATTGTATCAAAATATTTCATAAAAGTACTACTTATAAGTACATCTGTAAAAAGTAGCTTTCCATGATCTAGAAAATAGTTAAGAAAGCGGAGTCTTAGCATGACATAGAAAGCTGTTGGAAGGATAGCATTATCTAATTTTCAGGATAATTTGTACACTTTATTAGAATTTTTAGAAGGTAAAATTAAATCATTGAAAGGATATTTAACTGGAGTAGTAATTAAATATTTAATACCACCACTTAATCAGAAGTTAAATATCCACTACTATAGTAAGACTGACATCACACATATAATAATATTTTTCCATACTACAGTTTGGCGCATGTTTAAAAATCTGTTATATTTTAAGCTATATATATATATATATGTGTGTGTGTGTGTAATGAAACTGTGGTTTGAAGGTGGCAGAGTGGAAAGCATGATGACGCAATTCAGCACAACATATCTTGAAAAATCAATATCTTTGTTTTTTCCATGCATATCAAATAATCCTTTTTCAGACAAGATGTTTCCTTATTATATTTAAATACAGTAAGTTTCATTTTGAAGTAGAACATCATCTTAAGTAAGTAAGCAGCAGCATGGTTTAAAAGCGTCTTGCCAGCAGGAGAGCTATGCGGGAAGGGAAAGGTTATAGTACTTTCATAGCAAGAAGGCTGACATTTCAGTTCACAGTTTTGGTTTAGAATTAATTTGATTGGACGAGAGGCATCTGCATTAAAACGTTACATAAGATAGAAAAGTCTGGAACCTGTGAGAAGAGATGAATTTAGGGGCAGATTACCAAATTTAGAATGTTAATCTCGACTGCCAAGTTCTTTAAATACTACGCAATCAAAATTCTTCTTCAATATGGATCTAAGCACGCATCTACAGTGTTCCGTCATTTCCTTTTGCTTTTATTATGACATATGATATACATTACAATTTTAACTTCTTCTAAGTTTATTACATATATTCAACAGTTTTATCTAAATCTTCGTAAGAGTTAATTTAAATTTGAATATATCCAATTTACAATAGTTTTTACTCTTCATTTCCTAGGAAATAAACATAAATAAGAAAAATTATTAATTGAATTTTTATACTTAGCAGCAGTAGAATTAGATTGTTACTTTTAAAGTCCATTTATGCTTTTAGCTTTTTGCTTTATATTTATATATGTAATATTTTTTATGCATAGTCGATAGCAGAGCGGCAAGATGAGACGAAGATGTTGATACCAAAC